ATTCAAGTGCTCAATGTTTGCAAAAAAAAAACTCAAACCAAAAAAAATCCAGATCAAGTTAGGAGCTTACTATGCTATCCAATATTACACTATTTTATATTAATATTATGTGTATTGAACAAAATAAATTTTATAAAAATTATATTCAACTCGTTCTAAGGCAGAGAACTTATAACTACTGAGAAGATGCAAACAACAAATGGAAACTATTGAATGTCGGAACTTAACAGATTTAGAAGGTTTTAACCACGGAATCCACTTTTTGCAGATTTTTTGGTGGTTGATTCTGTTAAGTTCACTGTTAGCGGCACAAAATAATGTCTAGCAACATGTATATTTATATACTTCGTGTTGCAGGGTAGTAAATCGGAATTCTGATATTTTTACTTAATATTGCCAATTTTTAATAATTTTTTTAATTTTTGCTTTTTTATATGCAAAACAATTATAATGATAAGAAACTAAAGTTTTGAGCGAAGCAAATATAGACTGGAATTATTTGATGCAAAACCATTCCGATTAATTGATGCCCAATACCATTTCCATATTTTACATATTCCATAGATTGTTCATTTTTTAGGTACATGTATTAAAAATGTTTTTTTGACCAATTTTAGTACTTTTTGGTATATTTATCTTTAAAAAAAATATATTTGGCAAAAAAAAAATCGAAATCATTGAAAAAATTATGTACATGCAACTGAATAAATGAATTGAAACAGAAAGTATTTACAAAGAAGTTTTTATTAATTTTTCGCAAATACATATAGGTATGTGGCTATGAAATATTTTTCCGTAACTAAAATATCATAGAAGCATATTATGCTGCCCGACCTCTTATGCGAATTTTTATGCATATATTTTATAAATACAAATCAATTTATAAAATATACCTCAAAGGTCAAGATAAAATAAAAAAAAGAAAAAATGTATTTGCGAAAAACTAATAAAAACTTCTTTGTAAATACTTTCTGTTTCAATTCATTTATTCAGTTGCATGTACATAATTTTTTCAATGATTTCGATTGTTTTTTGCCAAATATATTTTTTTTAAAGATAAATATATATATGGTCAAAAAAACATTTCTAATACATGTACCTAAAAAATGAACAATCTATGGAATATGTAAAATATGCAAATGGTATTGGGCATCAATTAATCGGAATGGTTTTTCATCAAATAATTCCGGTTCTAATTCGCTTTATCGCTCAAAACTTTAGTTTCTTATCAATATAATTGTTTTGCATATAAAAAAGCAAAAATTAAAAAAAATTATTAAAAATTGGCAATATTAAGTAAAAATATCAGAATTCCGATTTACTACCCTGCAACACGGAGTATATCAATATACATGTTGCTAGACATTATTTTGTGCCGCTAACAGTGAATTTAACAGAATCCACCAC